TGACGCCGTCGGGAGCCGTCTTGGGGGCCTTTCTGAACCGACTGGGGGCCCTCTTTGGGCGCTTCGGGGCCGTTTTGGAGGCCATCTTGGGCGTCTTGGAGGCCATCTTGGGCGTGTTGGAGGCCTCTTGGGCCGTCTTGGGGCCCTCTTGGGGCCGTCTTGGAGGACTCTCGGGCCGTCATGAGGCCCTCTTGGGGGCCTCTTGGGCGATCTTGGGGGCCTCTTGAGCCGTCTTGAGCCGTCGGAATGCCGAGAAGAAGCAAATTCCAACACCCTTCAAACATCTACGGATAATCAATGATTTTGGCCTCTTCGGGCCCTCCTGGAGGACCTTTTGGAAGCCTCTTGGGCCGTCTTGGAGGCGTCTTGGAGGCTTCTTGGGCGAACTTCGGGTTATCTTGAACTCTCTGAGGCCGTCTTGGAGGCCGTCTTGGAACATCTTCGGCGGACTTGGAGGCCATCTGGGACTATCTTATCTTGGAGGCCATCTTGGGCCAACGTGGCCATCTTGGAGGCCATCTTGAGCCGTATTGGAGGAACATTTGGGAATTTGGCGATGGCTTGGGCGTCCTATGGGTCTTGAGGGGGCCCTGGCGGGACGGTAAAAACAGCGTTTCGCTCGAGACATCATCGGAGAACGCTTCTTGGGCGCTTCTCGGGCCGTCTTAGGCGCCTAAGACAGCCCAAGACGGCGCCCAAGGCGGCCCAAGACGGCCCAAGAAGCGCCCAAGACGGCCCAAGAGCGCTCCAAGAGAGCTCAAGACCGCCCAAGGCGGCCCCAAGACGTCCCAAGAGGCCTCCACGACGCCCCAGGAGGCGCCCACGAGGCGTCCCAAGAGGGCCCCACGAGGCCCACATCAATGATTTTCTGAAGGGAAACGTGCATTTCTAGATATACGGCTTTTCGCCTTTCATGGCGTTGCAGACGGTCCAAGAGGCCCCCAAGACCGCCCCAAGACGGCCCAAGATGTTCCCAAGAGGCCACCAAAATAGCCCAAGAGGGCGCCAAGACGGGCCAAGAGGCGCCCAAGACTGTCCAAGAGGCCCCCAAGAGCGCCCCAAGAAGGCCCAAGAGGCCCCCAAGAGGGCCCAAAAACGGCCCAAGAGGGCGCCAAGACGGCCCAAGAGGCGCCAAGACGGTCCAAGACGGCTCCAGGACGGCCCCAAGAAGGCGCCAAGAGGCCCCCAAGAGAGCCCAAAGACGGCCAAAGGCAGCCTAGTCCCTTCACCCCCGCCACCCAGAAGCTCCCAGGAGTCCCCAAGAGGCCCCCGAGAAGCCCCAAAAGGTCCCCAAGAGGCACCCAAGAGGCTCCCCAAGAGCCCCCCAAGAGGCCCTTAATACTCCCAAAGGCTCTTAGCACCGCGGCTCCCAAGAGCGAGCGGTGACGTAATCGAGCTGATAAGACCAAAGCTCCCAACAGAGAGCTGCGGTGTAATGAGTTCTTGCAGCCAGGGCACAGGGACGGGCGGCAACGCGTGGACAACGAGCGGTCCACGCAAGGACAACGCGGGATTCTGGAAAGCTGGCAGCCCAAACGCGGAAAACGCAACGCGACCCGACCGCCCCTTCCAAAACAAGAAACGCGCTCAAAGAAAGCTCCGCGACTCTCCGAGGCTGAGATAGGACAAGAGCGAGGGGAAGGGAGTCAATAAGAGGTGTAAGAGCGGACGAGCCAGCGATCCCGTGCGCTCTGAAAGTAAGTGCGCTTTCCGTCCCCGTGCCAAGCAGGTCTAATGGCCTTCGGCCCATCCCGCCATCGTGCCTGGGTTGTGGGTCATAGGTCTCTAGGAAGTTCGTCGGGATGCCGCCGGAGTCCTCTCGGGGGCCTTTTGGGGGCCGTCTGGATGCCTCTTGGGGGTCGTTTTGGGGCTTCTTGGGGTGTCTTGCGGGCCCCATGGGGCCTCCTTGGGCCTCCTGGGGGCCTCTTGGGGCGGAAGACTAGGATTTTCGGTTCGTGTTCCCCCTCTTGGGCCCTTCTTGGGGCTGTCTTTAGGCCCTCCTGGGCCGTCTTGGGCGCCTCTTGGGCCGTCTTGGAGCCTTCTTGGGCCCTGTTGGGGCCCGCCAGGGGCCTCTTGGGCCGTCTTGTGGCGGTCCTGTGCGCGTCTTGGGCAGTCTCGGACGATCGGGAGCTCGAACAGTCGAGGGCCCACAAATCATGAAACAACCGATGGGAAATCAACGATTTTGGCCTCTCGGAGCCCTGTTGGGAAGGCTCTTGGGGCTCTCTTGGGGCGCCTTGGAGGCCTCTTGCGCCGTCTTGGGGCCATCTTGCGCGTCTTGGTGCGATCATTCGGTGACTCGGCTCCCTCTTAGACAGTCTTGGGGGGGCCTGTTGGGGCCCTCTTAGCCAGTCTCGTGCCCCCCCCTGGGCCCGAAGAAGTCGCGCGAGAAGATGACGCCCCCGACAAGACGCGCCAAACCCGGCCAAATTTGGCAATTTGGGCTCTGGGCCTCTTAAATCGGGGGCGGAAAAGAGGGGGGTGATGACTAGGGGGGGGATGGATATCATGGCGGGGGCCATGATATTTCCTCAGATTTCATGGCGCCCCTTCTTATTTCATTACGTCCCTGGCCCCACCGCTGGGCCGCGCACATGCCGCCCCCCTCTTGGCCGTTCCCGATTAAAGACTCCTCAGGAGTCTGATGCTTAGAGGATTCGGCGATGGACCTGAGGACACGCCCACACAGTGCCCAGCGGCACGGTGACGGAGCTTCGTGTGCACAAAGGGCAGCCTCGGTTTCTTGCCCTTCTTTTCTCCCTCCTCCTCCTCCCACTACTTCCTCCTCGAAGGCATCTTGCAGGCCTTGGATGTTCGCTGGGATCTCGTCGTAGCCGTTCGGGGGTCTCCTGGAGGCAGTTTTGAAGCGTGTGGGGGGCTGTCTGCTTCGGGCGTCTTTGGGGCCTCGTGGGGGCCTTTGGGGGCTCGTGGGGGGCCTCTTGGGAACTCTTGGGGCCTCCTGGGTGCCGCTTGGGGCGGAAGGCTGGAATTTTCAATTCGCGTTCCCCCTCTTGGGCCCCTCTCGGGGCTGTGTTGGCGCTTGCTTGGGCCGTCTTGGGCGCCTCTTGCGCCGTCTCTGGGTCCTCTTGGGTTGTCTGGGGGGCCCTCTTTGGGGCCTGCCGGGACGTGTTGGGGCGGTCGTGGGGTCCTCGTGGGACGTTTTGGAGCGTTGGAATTCAGAAAAGTGGATAACATCCAAACGTGAACATCTGTAAAGACAATTGATCGTTTTGGCTTCTCGGGGTCCTACCGGGTGGCTCTTGGAGGCCTCTTCCAACGTTATGTGCGTTTCTTTGTTCCGGCCGAATATAAACCATCTTGCGCGTCTTGGACCGATTGTTCGGCGGTTCGGGATTCATAGAAAACCGTTAGGATTGAGGAGTCAGGCTTAAGGGATCAGGCCAAGGACCATCGGAAATTCCGATTCGTGCCTCAGGGCACGGTGGCTGATTTCCCAACACGTTATGCATAACCATATACGTAGAACGTCTGATACCGTCGGCATCCATTCTGTCGCTTGTGCGGCGATATGGCTCCAGTTAAAGGGCTAATGGTTTGTTGTCACGGGCTGTGACAGATAGGTATCCAGTACCACGACCAAACACAATCATTGGTTACCGATCGAATTGGGCCGTCTTGGGCGTGGCGTTTCCGATCGTTTGTGGGATGTTGCTGGGGCCATGCTTGAAACCATCTTGGACCCAGTTTGGACATGTTGCGTCATATCGGAGTCAATCGAGGGTACAAAGGGCAATTTTGGACGATTTACTTGGTCGCGATCCCCAGGGGTGGCTGTTTGGGATATGTTGCACCGCAGGCCACCTATGTCCAAATGATCGTCGGGATCGGTCTGGTGACCAGCAGAGTGGTCCACTGTAGTGCTCCTGTTTCCTGCCTCCTGCCCCCCACGTTTCCGTAACCACCTTGGCTCAAGAGGAGCCCACGGAGGTCCCACCCCCTCTTCTCGCCTTTTCAGCCTCCCCCCCTGGCCATGGGCGTGGCCACGGCCAAGCTGAAGGAGAAGGGCTCGACGCCTGGCGGCACCTACCGCATCCTCTACCACGCGGGCGGCAAGAAGGTCTTCAAGGGCCGGGCAGAGGTCATCCGACTTCTGCTCGAGGACGCGGGTGTGCCCTACGAGGAGTCGGACGAGGGCCTCTACGGTCCGACGGGCTTCTGCGACGCCTTCAAAGCGATGGGCAGCGACTCCACCGGCCTCAGCAAGGATGTTGCGCCGCTGGACGCGGTCCTGCAGGACACAGCGCCGTACCCAGTGATGTTCCCGCCGATCCTGCACTACAAGCCGGCCAAGGGTGCCAAGGACCAAGAGGTGTTCATCAATCAGGTGCCAGCGATCCTGCGGTACATTGCTGGAGGAGTCGGGTACGTGCCCAGAGGCAGGGCGCAGCAGGCTCAGGGCGACCAGCTGCTCGAGAACGCGAACGACTTCCTCGCAGAGGGGCGCAGGAGCTTCCACCCCGTCGAGGACAAGAAGGGCTACTCCGAGCAGAAGGAAGAAGCGGACAAGTCCTCCAAAGAGTGGGCGCAGGCCCGCTTGCCTGTCTGGCTAGGACACTTCGAGAAAGTGGTGCGCAGGCTGTGCCCAGCTGGGGACGGCCCCCTCTTCCAGAGCATGTCCTACGCGGACGTGGCCCTGTTCTTTGTCCTGGACGCGGCGGAGGCACAGTTCAACACGGACTTCTACGGAAGGGCCTGGGACAACGCCCCCGTGCCGACGCTGAAGGCGTGGAAGGCCTGGGTGGCGGCGCGCCCGCGGATCGCGGCGTACCAGAAGAGCGAGAGGTGCGCGCCATGGGCTGGCGACTCCATGATGTGAGCGTCGGTGCGCGGCCGGGCCCGTGGCGCCATGGGCCTTGCGCCGGGTCCGCCCGACGCGACGCTCTGGGCCGCAGGTGGCAGCGCGAGGACGAGAAGAGGGAGGCTAGATCCACCAATTTTCGACTATTTTTTGCTACTTCTGAGCATGTCTGGACTATTTGTCATTCTTCGTCCAAGCTCCGCCTGTAGGAGGACATGCCAGGCCTAAGGCCAGCCCCTGCTGGCAGGAGCCCCCGCGCTGAGTCGTGAGTCGAAGTTTGTGCAGCGTTTTTATTGTCCAAGGCCGCGGGTGTTGTCCGCGCCGACGCTGCCGGGCTGCGTGCCCAGGCCTAGCGATGCTGATGACAATTGTCAATCAGGTGATGCTGCTGATGGCAGACTTCGCTCGCCTCCTGCCTCGCATTCGACCACGAAGGTGCCTCGAGGGAGTCTCCCTCAAGTGACACGTTACCGTTTGTTAGTTTCGGTAGCAAGCCATGGGAGCAGTGTATACATTCGCAATCCCGTCTTTAGAGTGCGTTAGCGTCGACCAGCATCAGGTAATCGGTGACATGGCGCCGATTTAGCGTCGATTAGCGTCTGTTCGCTGCGATTAGCGTTGATTTAGCTTCGGCTAGCGTTGGCCAGCGTCGATTCGCAGGAGCCAATCAGATGATATGGTAGGCTCCCACGAACTGCCGCAGAAGCCTCTTGCCTCGACCGATGTGCCTTGAGGTGCCCCTGCTCTGCTTGCTCCCGCCCCCTCTTTGAGGCAGAGCGCTCCTGCTCGAGTTGGCCTCCCGCCCCGCCGAGAGGACCACGATGGCAAGCTGGCCCAGGCAGAGTTCGTGGAGGTGCCTGGCCGGCTGACCTCCTCGCAGCCTCTTCCTCCTCCCCGTTTTTTTTTCGTCCCGTGCCTCCTCCACCTGTCCCTCAGCGCTCATCCACCCGCTTGTCTCCTCGATCTCTGGCTGGTATCCTGCAGGTCCGGGGGTGCTCTGGGGTGCTTCTGGCGTTTCCTCTAGGTTTGGGGTGGTTACTGGGAAGAGGGGGAGGGAGGAGGGAAGGAGGGCGGGGGAGCGAGGATGACGAGAAAGACCGCAGGAGTGGGAGGAGGTGGAGAAAGAGGATGACGACGACGAAGATGGGATGACGAAGACGAGGAGGAGGAGGAGGAGGAGGAGGAGGAGGAGGAGGATGGCCTCTTCTCGTGACCAGCCAGCCGTCGTCGGTTCTCTCGTTACGGACGTCAGTCAGTGGCCAGGAGGCGAGAAGTAGTGTTTTGTTTTTTTCGCTGGTGACGATGATGAGGATGCTGATTACGATGTTGCTGATACTGATGATACTGATGACACTGATGATGACGGTGATGGTGATGATGCTGCTGCTGGTGATGATGGTGGTATCGATGACGACGATACTGATGCCGATGACGAGGATACTGCGGCTGCTGCGGATGATAGTAATAGTTATGCTCAGCCGCATGATGATGCTTATGAGGATGATGCTGATGATAATGATGATGCTGATGCTGCTGACTATGCTGATGATGCTGATGATGCTGCTGATGGTGATGATGGCGATGATGCTGTTGATGCTGACGATTCTGATAATACTGATGATGTGAGAATGGCAATGGTGATGGTGATGATTGTGACTGTATTGTTGACGTTGCCGATTCTGATGGTGATTATATTTATGATGATGATGGCGATGATGGTGATGCTGATGGTGATGATGATGATGATGATGATGACGGTAGTAATGATTATGAATGTGATCTTGATGCTGATGATGCTGCTGATGCTGATGATGCTGCTGCTGATGCTGGTGGTGATGTCGATGTTGATGCTGATGCTGATGCTGATGATACCGACGATAGTGATGTTCATGTTGATGAGTATGATGATGACGGTGATTGTGATGGTGATGGTGATGATGATCATGGTGATGACGATGGATATGCTGCTGATTATGATGATGGTGATGGTGATCATGATGATGTTGATGATGCTGCTGATGGTGATGACGATGCTGCTGGTGATGATGATGACGATGATGCCGATGATGCTGCCGATTATGATGCTTACGATGATGGCGATCATGATGGTGATGATGCTGATGCTGATGCTGATGCTGCTGATGCTGATAACGAGGATTATGCTGATTACGATTTTGATGATTATGCTGATGATGAAGATGATGACGGTGATGGAGGTGATGATGTCGATGACGATGCTGATGATGACGATGATGATGCTGATGCTGATGCTGATGCTGACGATGATGGTTATGATGATGATGATGATGATGATGATGATGATGATGATGATGCTGCTGCTGCTGCTGCTGCTGATGGTGGTGGTGGTGGTGGTGGTGGTGGTGGATGGTGGTGGTGGTGGTGGTGGTGGTGGTGATGATGATGATGGTGGTGGTGGTGGTGGTGGATGTTGTTGGTGGTGTTGTGGATGATGATGAGGATGAGACTGAGGATGCGGATGCGGATAATAATGAGGATGATGATGATGATGATGATGCTAATAATAATGATGATGCTGATGATGATGGTGATGATGGTGACTCTAAGGATAAAGGATGATAATGGTAATGGTGATGATGATGAGGAGGATGATGATGTTGATGATGATGATGCTGATGACTATGTTGATGGTGATGATGATAATAATACTGATGCTGGTGGTGATGCCAAGGAGGTGGAGAAGAGGAAGATGAGGAGGATGAGGACGAGGAGGACGAGGAGGAGTATGATGATTTTGCTGCTGCTGATTATTCTGATGAATCTGATGGTGAAGATGATGATGATGATGATGATGATGATGCTGATGCTGATGATGATGATGATGATGATGAGGATGAGGATGAGGATGAGGATGAGGATGATGCTGATGCTGATGCTGCTGCTGCCGCTGCCGATGATGCTGATGATGATGATGATGATGGTGATGAGGACGATGATGATGATGATGATGATGCTGATAATGATGATGATGATGATGATGATGATGATGATGATGATGATGATGATGATGATGATGGTGATGGTGGTGGTGATGATGGTGATCATGATGGTCATGATGAAAATGATGAGTGTGGTGAGGATGATCTGAGGACGAGGAAGGTGAATAGGAAGATGAGGATGATCTATACGAGGAGTTGTATTGTGCTAGCACGCGTGTACGTTGTTCTACGAGCGCCTTCCGGTGAGGTTTTCGCTGAACGCTGTTGCATATGCCTTTGGGGGAATGGCTGTCTGGGGGGCGTGTCCAGAGCTATGCACCGTCTCTGTCCGTCAAGCCCTCGTGACCTGCATCGGCTGCCGCTCAGGTGCTGAAGTCTGGGAAGTTCGTGGGCAGCAGCAAGGTCGCAGCGGGCGTGAAGTCGCTTAGACGCATCGGGCCTCTACTCATGTTTCTGGTGAGGAGCACTTCTGTGGAGGGCAGGAGGCGCCATGGTCAGGGGGCACTCCTCAAAGACAGCGCCCACGACACATTCTAACAGGCCCGGGGGCCTTGTTCGAACTCCAGCTCTTCCCTTGCCACCCCTCTGCTTGCCGCCAAGCACCCTTCCTCCGATCCAGTTCCAGTCCACAGGTTGTGCGGTGCGTCTTTTTCCTTCTCTTCCTCCTGCTTTTTCCCCTCCCCTTGATTCCTCTCCCTCACAGCCCTCCTCCGCCTCCTCCTCCTCCTCCTCCCTCCTTCTCCTCCTCACTCGTCCTCATCATCCTCCCCACTCCTCCTCCTCCTCCTCGTCCTCCTTCTTCTTCTTCTTCTTCTTCTTCTTTTTCCCCCTCCTCCTCCTCCGCCTCCGCCTCCTCCCCCTGACTCCTTCTCCCCCGCCTGATTCCTCCCCCATCGCAGACTGGGCTCTGCCCGAGAGGCAGAAGGGAGACGCAGACGGGAGGAGTGCCCTGAGCGCTGAGCCCTGCAATCAAGGGAACAGGGGCGACGGGCTCCATGAGGGAAAGTACAGTAGGGGCCCATGCCAAGAAACACCCTGCTTGCCTCCAGGGTGTCCTGGGTTTCTTGGGTTTCGATGGTTCTGCCATTGAAGTTCTCACGCCCAAAATCAAGGGACGTCCTGGGGTTCCAGGGTTGGGCTTCTTGTGGAAGGCTTCTTGTGGACTGGCCCCCACTTGCATCGACGCCGAGATCGTCCGTTCACCGCCGAAAGGGGGCGCGGGTAACCAGCCGTCCTCAGCAGCAGCAGAGGGCTTTCTGGCGATGCGTCGGCCATGTGCTGTCCGCTTCGGCTTGGATGCGTGCGCCTCCCCTCCGTTCCGCGCCGCGCGTGGGCGCTCCCGCCCCGGGTGTGCCGCGGCCGCGCCAGAACAGTCTGCGGCAGCCGCGGCACCGTTCCAGGGAGCTTTGGCTGCTGCCCCGGCGGCCTACGAGGGAGCTTCCGACGGCCTCGAGGACCCAAGCACATTCGCACGGCTCTTGAAACTCCAGGACCCCCCGCCTCCACACGCGGTGGTTGTCGGTGTGTTCCTCCGTCTCTGGCCCCTCCGCCCCCGCCTTCGCCTCCGCCTCCTCCCTTTCCTTCGCCGTCCCCCTCCTCACTTCGCGCATCCTCGGCTTCTTTCCCCCCCCCCTCACCCTCTCCCTCCCCTTCGCCCTCCCCCTCACGCCCGCCCGCCCGCCCGCCTGCCCCTCCTGCTCCTCCTCCTCCGCCTCCTCCGCCTCCTCCTCCGCCTCCTCCTCCTCGTCCTCCTCCTCCTCCTCCTCCTCCTCCTCCTCCTCCTCCTCCTCCTCTCCTCCTCCTCCTCCTCCTCCTCCTCCTCCTCCTCCCCCCCCCTCCTCCTCCTCCTCCTTCCCCTCCTCCTCCTCCTCCTCCTCCTCCTCCTCCTCCTCCTCGTCCTCCTCGTCCTCCGCGGCGCACATTCGTTTCAGTAATTTGCAGCAGTTCCACAGTTGGAGGGCGGGTGGTTTTCAAAATATGGCGCTCGCCTTGGCGCGGCGCACATTCGTTTTGACAATTTGCAGGAGTTTCACGCATTGAGGGCGACTCCTTTTTAACATGTGATTCTCGCCTTAGCGCGGCGCACATTCGTTTTAAAACTTCGCAAGAGTTTCACGGATTGAGAGCGGTTCCTTTTCAAATTGTGGTTCTCGCCTTAGCACCGCGCACATTCGTTTACACCATTTTGAAGAGTTTCACGGGTTCCCATCTTCAACGTACCAAACATGGTTTTTTGGAGGGATTCAAGATTATGCGGGTGCAACAGTTACGTACATTCTTCCTGTTGAATCCTAGGAATGGCGTTCTGGAACGGTCCAGGATCGTCAAGACGCAACAGTCAGGTTGATCCGTGGCGTTGGAATTCCGAGAACAATGTTTTGGCATGCTTCAGGGTCTTCAAACGGGTGTCTTCCAACGAGGCAGTTCCGTCAATCGAAATGAACCGTTGTAGGAACCTATGAAGAGGGAGCTTGGGGGGAGGGTTTACTCCAACATCGTTGATGACTCTTTGGCTTACGCTGGTCCTCCTCCCCCTCCTCCTCCTCCTCCTTCAAGACTCCTCCAGGACCCGACCCCCCCCTCGCCCGGAACGCGTTCTGGCTAGGATTTCGAGGTAGACCCATCCGTGGAGACGAGGGAGGCTGCAAGAGGCCCGGAGGAGGAGGAGGAGGAGGAGGAGGAGGGGGGGAGGAGGAGGAGGAGGAGGAGGAGGAGGAGGAGGAGGAGGAGGAGGAGGAGGAGGAGGAGGAGGAGGAGGAGGAGGAGGAGGAGGTGAGGAGATGATGATGATGATGATGATGATGATGATGATGATGATGAGATGATGGATGTGATGCTGATGATGATGATGACGATGACGATGACGATGACGACGATGATGATGATTATGATGATGATTATGCTGCTGACGATGATGATGATGATGATGCTGATGCTGCTGCTGATGCTGATGATGATTCTGATGATACTGCTGATGAATGCTGATGATGATGCTGATGCTGATGATGCTGATGATGTTGATGGTGTTGCTGCTCTGCTGCTGCTGCTGCTGATGATGATGGTGATGATGATGATGCTGATGCTGATGCTGATGATGATGATGCTGATGAGATGATGATGATGATGATGATGATGATGAATGATGATGATGATTGATGATGATGATGATGATGATGATGATGATGAGGACGATGATGATGATGATACTGATGATGATGAGGTGTGTGGTGGTGGTGGTGGTGGTGGTGGTGATGATGATGATGATTGATGATGATGATGATGATGATGAGGAGGAGGAGGAGGAGGAGGAGGAGGAGGAGGAAGAGGAGGAGGCGGAGGGGGAGGAGGCGGAAGAGGAGGAGGAGGAGGAGGAGGAGGAGGAGGAGGAGGAGGAGCAGGAGCAGGAGCAGGAGGAGGAGGAGGAGAAGGAGGGGGAGGAGAAGGAGGAGGAGGAGGCGAGGAGGAGATGGAGGTGATGAGGACGAGGAGGTGATGAGGACGATGAGGAGGAGGAGGTGGAGGAGGAGGACTTGTCGTCCTTGCCTCTCCTAGCGCCTGGCGTTCTGATCAGGGTTTCAGGGCGAGTCCAGCCCGGGCCCTCAGCGACGGGGGCGCCCCAGTGTGGGTGGCAAGCTCGTCAAAGTCCTTTGGCCCTGTGCTGAGGGACACTTCCCGCAGACATACGATGTCACGTTTTTTTGGTGCCGTGGTACCCAGACCTCCAGACCCAATCGTGAGGACTACCTTCTCGCCCCAGATCGTCATCGTTTGACGGCCCCGGGGCCCGAAACGGCCCCTCCAGGGGCCCAGGCTGAAGAAGGACCTGGCGTCTCGCGACGAAGGTTGCTCGGGCTCTCCGCTCAGAACCTAGCGGCATCCTCGGCCTCCTCGTCCCCGTCGCTCGTTGAGCCTCCTGCGAGGCGTGCCCAGCCAAGGCAAGGAAGGGTTCGGCTCCCTGCGACGTCAATTTCAGCATATGCCCAACTGCTTGTGCGGCCTTTGTACACTGTTGAACCCCTGGTTGTGCGCTGGGTTGTACCCTGGTTGAGCCCACCGTTTACCCTGTTTCTACGCTGGGTTGTAGCCTGCGTGTGCCCTGCTACGTCTAACACTGCGAATTTTGCTTTCCCGAGGTCGATGGATGATGACATTCATACTCCCTCTCGTCCTCGTCCTCCTTGCCCTCCGCCCCCTCCTTGACCTCCCCCTCCTCGTCCTCCTCGTCCTCCCTCGTCCTCCCTCGTCCTCCCTCGTCCTCCTCGTCCTTCTCGTCCTCCTCGTCCTCCTCGCCCTCCTCGCCCTCCGACTCCCCCCCGTTCTGCTCGTCCTCCTCGTCCTCTTCGTCGTCCTCGTCCTCCGCCTCGTCCCTTTCCCGCTCGTCCTCCTCGCCCTCTTCACCCTCCTCATCCTCCGCCTCCTCGTCCTCCGCGCCCTCCACCGCTCTCCGCCCTCCCGAAGGCGGAGGCCGCTCCCAGCGCGCCGCCGAAGGGCCGCGGCGCCGCCCGCGAGGGCGAGGAGGAGGGCGCGGCGGCCGCGAGCGACGCGTCGCCGCAGGGGCACGGCGTCGACGGTCCCGAGGCAGCACCCCCCTCCGTCCCAGTGGAGGTGCCTCCCTGTGTCGGTGATGGTGCGCATGCCCGCGTCTCCAGAACGAGGCAAGTCATGCTCTGATTCCCACTGAAGTCAAGCTCGGGTTCCCTTTCTCGTTTTTTGAAGGCCCATTCTCTCTGAAACCCTTCAGGCATGCCCAGAACTGCCAGACCCAGAACTCGGAGTGTTCTCTGGCAGCCGTACCTCAAAATCCTCGCAGGCTCTCACGCACGCCTGGCGACCGCACACGCCCGCCTTACATATGCAAGCCTCATTCTCGAATAGGGGATCGACTACATAATAGTTGATGGACCCCAAGAGTGAATTTCTCGTCGAGTCATGTGCAGAACGATCGTAGATCTGCGAGCATTCTGCGCATCTCGCATGGCTTCGACCAACAAATCAATTTTGGGATACGTCGATGCTGGAGCCGATCCCCTGCTCGAAGATTTCGCCTCGGAGTCGTAAACGCAAAAGAAGGGGGCCCCGAGGCAGGGACAACGAAGCAGGCCGGGGCCCGACCCTCCCGCGCGGGCGCGGGCGCGCTCCTTGCAGGCCGCGCGGGCCGGGCGCGAGAGGGGAGGCCGCAAGACGTGCCGCCTCCTCCCGCGCCTGGGCGACGCAGGACGCTGGAGAATCTAGGCCTCCCAGATGGGGTCCTCCTCCTCCTCCTCCTCCTCGTCCTCCTCCTCCTCCTCCTCCTCCTCCTCCTCCTCCTCTAGGGGGGCGCTGGGAAGGTCAGATGAGGAAAAGGCGCCGATACCGCTGCCTCGCCCTCGTTTTCGCCTTTTTGGGCCTCCCGGGATGCCTCCCAGATGGGGTCGAGGAGCAGACAGGGTCGGAGGATCGCGCCGCAGCGATGCAACGGCGACGCATCGGCGATGCGGCTCGGTGTGGGGCCCAGTTTTCTGCACGCCGACGTCGCCGATGCACCGCCGACGTCGCCGGTGCATCGCCGATGCGGCGAGAGCCTCCGACCCCGTTGTTTTCTCGGACCCCATCGAGGAGGCCTCTGCTTGGCAGCGCTCGGACGTGTGCATGTTCTCCTCGGCGAGGGCCGTGGAGGAGCATCCTGGACCGAAGGATTGCAAAATACCCAGGATTGCAAAACAAAACAGGATTGCAAAACAAACCTAGGGTTTTTTTGCAATTTTTTTTTTTTTTTTTTTTTTTTTTTTTTTTTTTTTTTGCAATCCAGGGTTTTTTTGCAATCGCTCGAAGAATCCAACGCACGACACCGACAAGCGCACGGGACATGAGCGTCCGAGCGACGGCACGTCCAGAGCAAAGCAGCCCTTCTTGTCGGCGGCGCCGGCGGCCGCGAGCGCGCGACCGTGGAGCCCGTGGGTCGCGCGGGCCACGGGGCCCGCCGAGGCGGGCGGGAGGAGCAGAGCCGGAGGCCTGGAAGTGGGCACCCGCACCGGCACAGCGGGGGCTGCCTCCATCGGATCTTCGGGGGCGGAAAAGAGGGGGGTGATGACTAGGGGGGGGTGGATTTCATGGCGCGGGCCATGATATCTCCCCAGATCTCATGGCGCCTCTGCTTATTCCATTACGTCCCTGGCCCCCCCGCGGGGCCGCGCACATGCCGCCGGCCATGATTTGCGCCCCCCCCTCTTTGACGCCCCCCTCTTTGCCGCTCCCGAGATCTGCACGAGCGAAATGGGCACGGAAAGAATGGGTGCAGTGCCCAACAGCGGATCACGTTCATTTTGAACAGGACTCGCTGTCCACGCCGCCGCGGCCTGTGTCCATGCAAGACAGAAGGCCGCCTGCCCAACCGCGGCCGCTGTTGGTTTGGGACAACATTTGTTGTTGGGCATTGTACCCATTCTTTCCGTACCCATTTCGGGCGCCCAAATCGGAGCCTCAGAGACGGGGGTCAATGCAGACGGGGGTCAGCCAGGGCATCGGATCCTGCAGGATCCTGCGAAGAGCCCCTCTGGCTGACCCGGGTTAGCGAGCCGCTCGTGGCCGCGAGGCGGCCGCGCCTCTTGGCTGGCCCGGGGTTGCGAAGCCCTGCGCTGCAGTTTTTTTGTCCTGCACTGCAGTTTTTGGGTTTCCTGCTGACCCGGGTCTGATTGACCCGGGTTAGCAGATCCCCGACTCCACAGGGGGAAGGTGATCCTGGTTTTCGGTGTCGGCGGTAGCATTTCGGCCACCTGGGAAGCCAGGGCATTACCACCGTCACAGAGATCGGGACCTTCTTCTCTCGGTGCAGGCACACCGCCGATATCGCTGTTGGTGTCAGTGGTGGACCCAAACGGTGTTTTGGCGATTTCGTGGGCCGTTTTCGTTTCGACTTCGCTTTGCGGTACAGGCGGATTGAAGACAAAGCGAGGGAAAGCGCAAGCAGAACGAAAGCGACAAACACCGCCTAGGTTCAGCCCTGGTCCTGGCACCGCTCGGACGTGTGCATTTTTCCTCGGCGAGGACCATCGAGGACCATCCTGGACCATCGAGCCTCGAGCCAAAAACACACGCACGGCACCGAAGACATGCACGGGGAATGGACGTCCGAGCGACGGCAGGTGGCCGGTGTCAACCGCTGGGGCCTGCGGCGGAGGGCGGCCCTCGGAGGCGGAGGGCGGGGCGGAGGCCCGGGCCGCCGAGGGGCCCCCGCGGGGCGGGGGGCGCGCGGGCGGCCTCGGGTGAAGTCGGGCGGCCTCGGGTGAAGTTTCGACGAAACGTAAACAATACTCCAAACACATAGTCTAAAGTGGTCAAAGAGTATGCAAAAAAATGGTCCCCAGGCTATATGTCTTGGCCACTTTCGCATACTCCCGCTGCAGAGGGACGGGCCCGACTGGAGCCTTGGGGGATTTTCGACGAGACATAAGAGATATTCGAAGACATATCCCCACATGACCAAAAACAAATCTGCAAAAAACAGCCCCCAGACTATGTGTCTTGACTACTTTTGAGTATTCCCCCTGCAGAGGGACGGGCCCGACCTTGAGCCTCGGGGGAGTTTCGACGAGAAATAAGATATATTCGAAGACATATCCCCAAATGGATGGCCAACAACAAATATGCAAAAAGCAGTCCCCTGACTATGTGTTTTGACTACTTTTGAGCATACTCCCGCTGCAGAGGGACGGGCCCGACTTGAGCCTCGGGGGATTTTCGGCGAGAGATGAGAAATATTCGAAGACATCCCCAAATGGCCAAAAACAAAGATGCAAAAAAAAACAGCTCCCAGACTATGTGTCTTAACTACTTTTGAGCATTCCCCCCTGCAGAGGGGCGGGCCCGACCTTGAGCCTCGGGCGCCAGGGGAGCCCGTAAGGGTGTAAACTTTCCAGCCGCCCTGGGGCAGGTGTCCCCGACGGCGAAAAAGTTTATTTTATACTGTTCTTCGCCCGCTAAGGAATGGGGGGTGAACAGCTGCACCAGGTGCACCCCAGGAAGGGGTCAAGGGACCGATACTGAGCGGAGGAGGCTCCCCCCCGGCCTCCCCCCCTGCTGACAGCACTCCTCGGGGCCCGTCCAGCTCGGACCCCTTTCAGGAGGGGAAAAACACACACACACACAGACGCAATGCATCTGCGATCCCCCAGAAACATATGGAAAATATGGGGAGTGGGGGGGGAGAGAGAAACCCAGACCACATGGGAAAATATGGGGAATCTTTTTATTTGTGTGTATTTGTTTGTGTGTCCCAGGGCCCCCCACGTGCGCCTCGACGTCGTCGGACGAGCGGGGGAGGGGAGGCGGAGGGCCTCGGACCTCGGGCGGGTGCCTTTCTCCCGCCCGTGGGCGCCCCAGTACCTGGCGGGGCTCGACCTGCGCCAGCGCATGGGGGCCATCTCGCTCAAGGACGCCATGGCGATGCTCGACGGGGACCAGGCCGGGCACCGCCCCTGCCGGAAGAGGGACGATGATGATGATGATGATGATGATGATGATGATGATGATGATGATGATGATGATGATGATGATGATGATGATGATGATGATGATGATGCTGATGATGATGATGATGATGATGATGATGATGATGATGATGATGATGATGATGCTGATGCTGATGCTGATGCTGATGCTGATGCTGATGCTGATGCTGATGATGATGATGATGATGATGATGATGATGATGATGATGATGATGATGATGATGATGATGATGATGATGATGATGATGATGATGATGATGATGATGATGATGATGATGATGATGAAGGGGAGAGAAGAGAAGGAGGAGGTAGATGAGGAGGAGAAGGAAGAGGAGGAGGAGCAAATGAAGGAGGAAGAGGAGGAAAAGGAGCAAGAGGTGAGTGGCAGGAGGAGGAGAAAGAGTGTCTCCTCGGCTGCTGGTCCCCCGTCCGCTCCCCGAGCTGCTCGCGCCGTGGGCAACGTCAGGACGGGAGGTGTTCGGCCGTGTTCGGCCTCGGGGGGCCCTCGCCGGGCCTCGGGGCCGTCAGGCATCGGCCCGGGAGGAAGGGCTGGTCCCGTGGAAGGGGTCGGGACTTACGAGGACCGCGTATTGAGAACGTCAGGACATCGCGTGCCTGGGTCCTCTCACCGCTTCCCGCTGCTTCGCCGCATCCCCCCGGAGGTGGATGAGGATCCTGTTTGCTTCTACTTCAGTGGGGGTTCCGGGCGCAGGAGCAGAATGATAATGATGATGATGATGCTGATGGTGCTGCTGCTGCTGCTGCTGATGATGATGATGATGATGATGATGATGAGGATGATGATGACGACGATGCTGATGATGATGATGATGCTTATTATCATGATGATGACGATGATGATGATGATGATGATGATGATGATGATGATGATGCTGATGATGATGATGATGATGATGATGATGATGATGATGCTGATGATGATGATGATGATGATGATGATGATGATGATGATGATGATGATGATGATGATGATGATGATGATGATGATGATGATGATGATGATGATATGATGATGATGATGAGGAGGAGGAGGAGGAGGAGGAGGACGAGGAGGAGGAGCAGAAGGAGGAGGAGGACCAGTGTAAACCCAAAATGCGTCAATGATGTTGCACGGAACTCTCTTCAAGTTTCCTCTCCATAGTTCCCAATGATAATGTATCGCCATTGTGGTAAGCGGCCCATTGGAAGGCCGCCGTCTGAGATTCCTCAATCATTCCAGACAGCATTTCCTGGTACGTCACCGCCAGGGATCAGCGTGACTGTTGCGTCCTGAGAATTTTCGGTCGTGCCAGAGCACCATTCCTGTGGCTACTCCTGTGAGCTGTGGCGTCTTGCAAATCCTACATCGTGCCAGAGAGCCGTACCTGGCACTTCGGCCATTCGAATCTTTCAGACTGCTGTAAACTGTTGAGGCGAATGTGTGCGGCGCTGAGGCGAGAGCCACACTTTGTAGAGGAAGCGCCCTCCATCCGTGAAGCTGTTGTAACACGCAAGAGTTCGGCGCCAAGGCGCGAGCCACGTTTTGGAAAAGGAGCCGCCCTCCATCCGTGAAGCCGTTGCAGACTTCTAAGACGAATCTGCGCGGCGCTAACCCGAGAGCCACATTTTGAAAGCGGCCCGCCCTTCATGCATGACGCTGCTGCAGTTTCAAGAAACTCATGCGCGCGGCGCTGAGGCGAGAGCCACATTTTGACATCGGCCCGCCCTCCATTTGTGAAGCTGCTGCAAACTCGAGCTTCAGGATCAGGCGAAGGAACAGACGAAACGCCCGCCCGCCCTATCAACATGTCTGGGGGTGCGACAGGGAGGAGTCAGGTGCGACAGGGAGGCGTCAGTTCGAAGGAACGTGGATGGAGGATGAGGGTGACGATGAAGATGACGAGGAGCAGGAGCAGGAGGAGGAGGAGGAGGCGCAGGTTCCCTGCCCCTCCCCTCCTCCTGCCTCTTCCCTGGCACCCTGCCTTCGGGCTCCCTCGAGCTGCCCCCCCCCTCTCCCCCCCCCCCACTCCCCTCTCTCTCCTCCTCCTCCTCTCCTCCTCCTCCTCCTCCTCCTCCTCCTCCTCCTCCTCCTCCTCCTCCTCCTCCTCCTCCTCCTCCTCCTCCTCCTCCTCCTCCTCCTCCTCCTCCTCCCCCCTCCCCACGAGGTGGGCGGCCTCTGGCCGCTCCCTGCCCCGCCCCGCGGTCCGGCGACCGCTGGGCCTGCCGCCGCGGCCCCGCGCCTGCCGCGCCCTGCTCTCCATTCTGCGCACGCGCCGTCGATTTTCTGCCCGGCAGCCCCGCTCCTTCTCCTCCCCTCCTCATCCCCCTTCTCGTTCTCCTCCTCGTCTTCCTCCTCCTCCTCCTCGTCTTCCTCCTCCTCCTCCTCCTCCTCCTCCTCCTCCTCCTCCTCCTCCTCCTCCAGCCGCCCGCGCCGCCCTCGCCGCCGCCGCCCGCGCCGCCCCAGCAGCCCCCGTCGATTTTCTGCCCAGCAGCCCCGCTCGCCCTGCTCCGAGCACCCCCCGCCGCCCCTCCCCCTCTCGAGGAGCAAACCAGGGCTCGACCCAAACGGTGTTTTCCTACTTTTTCCCATCTGTTTCCGTTTTACTTTTCTTTTTCGTCGTGAACGCGTTTCAGAACACGTTTTCACTCGCTCTGAACTGCGGCTGGTTTGCTCAGCAAGCCAGCCGCATAAGCTTAAGTCGGGCGTGCCCCCCTACGGGGGAATGTCGCCGAAAAATAGGAAATGCTCCAACACTGTTCCAAGATGGCCAGAAAAGATCCAAAAAGTAGTCCCCATACTGTTTTGTGACTATTCTCGAATATTCCTCCTGTAGAGGGACGGGCCCGGCTTAAGCGTAAGCATGCGCTTTCGAAGTCCCGCTCGGATTTCTTCGATCTGTGCTCGACCCCCCTGGGGCGGCGCCTGTGGCGCCGCCACTGGCGCGCTCCGCGCGAGGGTTCCAGCGATGCTCCGAGACGTCCGCGCAGAGATTCGGAAGTTTATGCTTAAGCAGTCTTTCCTCCCTCCAGACCCGGCGCCAACTTCGCCATCGCGCATCCCGCCCTCGGGCGACCTGCGCCGCGCGAGTGTCGGCGCTGCGGCAGTGATCCGGCTGTACATCTGTGGCAATTTTCGGGGGGCCCCCAGGCGGTGTGGTGACCACGCCGCGCGGTGAGCCGGGGGGGGGTCATTCGGGGTCACCGTGCGGTCCTGGGACTCGGGCCGTGCTCCGGGCACGTGGTCGGTGACCTGGGTCACGACTGCACGGGCCCGCTCGCCGCTGAGCGCATGAGGAGGAGGAGGGGGAGGAGGGGGAGGAGGAGGAGGAGGAGGAGGAGGAGAGAGGAGGAGGAGGAGGAGGGGGAGCAAAACTAGGAGGGAGGGAGGGAGGAGGAGGAGGAGGAGGAGGAGGAGGAGGAGGAGGAGGAGGAGGAGGAGGAGGAGGAAGAGGAGGAGGACGAGGAGGAGGTAGGAGGAGGTAGGAGGAGGATGAGAAGGAGGAGGCTGGAAAGGAGGAGGAGAAGGCGGAGTTGGAGGTGGGATGAGGATTTTAGAAGGATGATGATGAGGAGGATCAGGACCAGGAGTCTGATAATGGTGATGAAGGTGACGACGATCATGAAGAATACTGTGATGCTTGTTCTGCTGATGATGCTGGTGCTGGGGCTGATGGTGATGATGATGCTGATGCGGACGTTGATGCTGCTGATGATCGTGTTGATGATTGTGGAGGACGATCAATGGAGAGGAAGCATGTTGCCAAATAGTTTCCAGATGTCTAAAACATGTGCTGAACATGTGTGAAGCCTGTAAAAACATGTTTAATCCATGTTCATAACATTTTCCGACATTTAAAGCACTTTAATTTCAATGGAAGGACTGTTTAGGGTGTCCATTGTCATGGCATCCACAAGTTGATGACGACAACGACGACGATTCTGATTATGACGATGACGATGGCGATGGTGATGATGGTGATGATGCTGCTGCTGATGCGGATGCTGATGATGACAATGATGCATGTGTATGGTGAAGATGAAAACGTTGCTAATGGTGATATTGATGATGCTGATGATGATGGTGATGATGATGATGATGATGATGATCATGGGGAGGGTAATGACAAGGACGATGCTGATGCTGCTGCTGATGATACTCATCATGAGGATGCTGACGATGCTGATGATCACGAAACTGATGCTAATGATGATGACGATGTTGATCATGGTGGTGACGATGCTCGTGACGATGGTGATGCTGCTGCTGCTGATGATGTTGTTGCTCATGATGACGATGCTGATGATGCTAATGATGCTGATGATAATGCCGATGAAAATGCTGATGCTTCTGCGGATGACGATGATGCCGTTGACGATGATGAGGATGCTGATGATGATGATGATGATGATGATGATGATGATGGTGATGATGATGATGGTGCTGATGATGATGATGAGGATGATGATGATGATGATGATGATGATGATGATGATGATGATGATATGATGACGGTGATGATGCTGATGAGGATGCTGATTACGCTTACGATGCTGATGACGATGATGGAGATGATGATGATGATGATGATGATGCTGATGCTGCTGCTGATGATGATCATTCGGATGATCATTATGATGACCATGCGTGTGCTGCTGCTGTGGCTGTAGGTGCTGATGGTTAGGATGCTGAGGCTGATGCTGCTGATGATGATGC